TGTACACATACACGTGAGCATATAAGCATACATACACATTTTAATATCTATACATGCAACATTTAGAGATCTAAATATGCACTTTTTGGAACTAGTGTAGTTCCTTCCTCAGATCTGCAGACTGTTAATAGTAAAGCACAATAAAAGAGCAGGGGTTATAGGAGGGATGTAGTGGAGCTGGGTGTGGTCATAAATATATAGCTGATTATCCAAACCAAATCCCAGGTCTGAGGGTTTTAGGTTTTGTCCACCACCAGTAAAGCAAAGCAGCTCTCTCACGAGGCAGGTGGGACTTCTCCAGAAGTGAGAAGTTCCCTCTTCTCACAGAGCACAGATGCTTCTTCACAGGTCAATGACACATTGCACTTCATAGCATAAAATCTGAAGTATTAATCCTGTAAGGTGGTCACCAGCCAGTACTGTGGCCTGTAGGTTCCCTCGCCACGTGCAAACACGTACTCCATTGCAAAATGACCCCCTAACTCAGGGTCAGAACCGCAGCAGACAGTGGAATTAGCCCCAAATCAGTTGTAAACTCAAATAAACTCCTCTGTTTACTCCCACTTTAAATTCTGTGTAATCCCGAATTAAGCAACGATAAGGCTAACTTTTTTATTTTGAATTGTGGCAGCGTCAAAAGAAGTGGGAGCTGCACCTGCCCACCCACAGCAGGTCTGGGGGCACTCCTCACGCCAGAAGAGGTGCTTCCTTTGCCACTGGGATGCCAGAACCACTCAGCTCCAATTCATGGCTCCTTCTTCTGACCACTAGCAAGATGACGCTTATGCCATTAGGGTACAGCATGTGTGAATTTGTATGATGTAACTACTCCTTAAATGTATAGTTGTCGCAGTGCACTTTAATACCACTTAAGAATTTATTACCTTAAGTGGAAATGAGCAGCAGCATTCCTCTCATCTGCCTGGTTATTAGCGGCAGTTAGTATTTTCCAAAGTCATCTATGGCTCTGACATTACTACTGCTGTGCTTATGACTACGCTGAAGTCCTAAATCCTTTTGCAGCTTTTAGTTTGCCCATATTTCTAGTTACTTTACAACATGCCCTCTTTCAACTTTTTTGATATTTTTTCCACTCCAGCTTCTGGAATTTGTATAAAAGCCACTGAGTTTTATTTTTTTCTTTTGAACTGAAGACACTGAGCTGGTGGAATTTCCTTTAACTGGAAGTATGTCTGGACTTGTGGTTTTATTATTTGCACAGTTTTATGTTGTCCAGTTTGTTTACTCCCAAGTACAGGGAACGCTCCATTAATCATGGGAAATGGGCATTCATTTCACCTCTTTAATTTACATTCAACTCTTTTTCTCACAGTTGAAAGGGACAAGGACTTCTCCCACCAGCGAAGGCACTACAAAGAGTTTCGCTTTGACCTTACTCAAATCCCGCACGGAGAGGCAGTGACAGCAGCTGAATTCCGGATATACAAAGACCGAAGCAACAGCCGCTTTGAGAATGAAACAATTCAGATTAGCGTGTATCAGATCATCAAGGAGTACCCAAACAGGTACCCTCTTGGCATGAATGTATCATGTGCTGAATAACACCTGATGTTTCTGTCTTAGTCGGGGACACAGTAGCTGATGATAAGCATACCCTCAGCAAGGCATCATTGCTGTCACTGTGGCTTGTGCAGTATTAATACTTTGGCAATGACAACAAATACTGAGCAAGAAAATAACTTCTCTTCAGTGTAATTTATTCCAGGCTTATGGAGAGTTACATGTCCAATCTTACCAAATAATCTGCCCATGCACCGAGAGGGTGAGGCTTTGTGTTCTCAGTGAGCAAACAGTGGAGTCATATCCACAGTCCAAATGTCTGGATTTGGGAAATGCACCATTTGCTGACACTGAAGTACTACCAACCAAGATTGATTTAGCCCCTTAAAGGCAGAGAAATTGTTCAACTCTGTTTACATTTGAAGGAGCATGGGTTTTTTGCATGTGTTTTAATATTCTGCCAAATATAATTTTAAAATAATGTCAGGCACTGACTTTAAGATGACATATACACACTTAACACATGCAGGTCACCAAAACTGAAAATTCAAACAAGTATGCCATTACACATGAACAAATCTCTGAATCTGAGGTTGCAGAGCTCTGTGTGTGACATATTTCCAAGACTCTGCAAGATCTGACTAAATGACCAGCTTTCACCAGGCAAAGTAGCTAAATACCCGAAAATTCCCATTAAAAACTAGTAGCAATTCCAAGATGCTTCTGAAAAAAGCTACATACCCCCAAAATTTGGGTTCTGAAATTAAACTGGTGTATGTCTTTTCTCAGAAAAGTGGAAAAAAATTGGTTTGAGATAAACAAAAACTATCCCTTATCTTGGAAGAGATAAAATATTTCTATCCTGGGCATGTTTAGCAAAAGCAACAAAAATGGCAGCTGAAACATGCAGAGTATCAGGGGGGAAAAAATGTCCCATCACCAGTTAGTTCTAAGGCTGGGCCAGAGTTCAGATCTCTTTTCTGCTCGCAGAAGCTTGAGCTTGTACGTTCCAGGTGAGATCTCTGAACATCAGGTTATAAAATTTTTAAGGCTATAAACAGGGAGTAATTTTATATCAATGGAGCAGAACCAACACGAGGGAAAGCACTCATCCTTCCAGAACATCTTCTGCTTTCTTAGTAAATTTGGGCAGGAACAAAACAGTGCAGGATTATTTTTTTTTTTACCTCTGTCTTCAGCTTGCAAAAATTATTTTGATGCAGGTTCTAAAAGAAACTTCTTGAAGGGAGGAATGAAAGAGGAAGGAACAAAACATATCTTTTTAGAGAGCACAGGTCAAGGCTAGGGTGACGAAAGCTCTTCACCTGCAAACTCAACAGATTTTTTTTTAAGAACTAATGGGAAAAGTTAGTTTTTCTAATCCACTTGATGTATTCTTTTTTTTTTAATGTTTTCCCAGTAAGTGGTTTCTGTTCTATTTTAGAAAAAGCAAAACTGCTTACTACTCTGAAGCAAGATTATACTTTAATATTTTCTGACTTGTTAAAATGATGACTGTCTTTGTGAGACCATTAAAGAATGCTCTTGATTTCTTTCAATACATAAACATAACTTTATAAACATTTTACATTTCTATTTATAAACATAAAAGCCCCATGTCCTGTAATGGAAGCAGGATGCTGGAAAGGGGGACATGCAACGATATACCATCAATTTGACTTCACCAGTATAACTACAGCAACTTCAGATGTAGACTGTTTCCCTCTTACTGATTTTGCCAGTCTCTATTCATATAGGGAGTATATAGAGGCAGATGCCTCAGTGGGACAGGATGGGAGAAGACACAGCACAGAAAGGACATGGACCTGTTGGAGAGGGTCCAGAGGAGGGACATGAAAATGATCAAAGGCCTGGAACACCTTCTCCATGAGGAGAGGCTGTGAGAGTTGGGGTTGTTCAGCTTGGAGAAGAGAAGACTCCGAGGAGACCTGATTGCGGCCTTTCAGTACCTTTCTTATAAGAAAGATGGGGATAAACATTTTAACAGGGCTTGTAACAACAGGAGAAGGGGTGATGGTTTTAAACTAAAAGAGGAGAGGTTTAGGCTAGGTATAAGGAAGAAATATTTTATGCTTAGGGTGGTGAAACACTGGAACAGGTTGCCTGGGGAGGTGGTAGATGCCCCATCCCTGGAAACATTCAAGGTCAGGTTGGATGGGGCTCTGGGCAACCTGATCTAGTGGAGGATGTCCCTGCTTACTGCAGGGGGGTTGGACTAGATGACCTCCATGGTCCCTTCCAACTCAAACTGTTCTATGATTCTATGATTCTAAGATGACAAGCTCTGCACTGTTCAAATTAGAACCAAGGAACTTTCACACCTGCTTCTTGATACCTCCAGACAGAAGATCTCCCAAGAATTTTTTTTTTTTCCAATAAAGCCACAGCTTTTGCTTTGGAGCCCAGACTTCACTAGTGTTATTCCTGATTATGACACCTCAGGTTTATCCTACATATATACCATGAGGTATTAGGTGCAAATTTTTCAGAAGCTGCAACTGCAGAATGTGAGAGTGAGAAAACTGTGAGGGTGGTGAGGCAGTGGCCCAGGTTGCCCAGAGAAGCTGTGGATGCCCCATCCCTGGAGGGGTTCAGGGCCAGGCTGGATGAGGCTTTGAGCAACCTGGGCTAGTGGAGGGTGTCCCTGCCCATGGCAGGGGGGTTGGAACTCGATGATCTTTAAGGTCCCTTCCAACCCAAGCCATTCTGTGATTCTATGATTCTGTAATGTCCTACACTCCTTACTATGTTGTAGTCTCAGACATTTTTCTGTCTCCGTGGCAGCGTGGCTGCTGAAGTGAGTATGTACTGAATTCACTTGGAGTTTGCTGAAATGACAGTCTCTGGGACTGAAGTTTTCTCTTCGTTCTAAGTAAGTGTGTAAAGCACAGCCCATGGCAAGGCAAACTTTCCTACGCAGCCCTGCCAAGGTACTCCTACCCGGATCTTTTCTCATGACGAAAGTAATGTAGTCCAACAGGCCAAATCCTTGTTCATGATCTGGTGGCAGCTAGCCACTAATCTAACTAAACCCCAAGGATTCTTCCCGCATTAGGGAATCCTCAAGTGGCATTAAGATACTAAAGCAGCTTTCTGGAATGAGGCGAGAGGTGAAGGAGCATTATGGGGATGGCCTATTACATAGTAATTGTGATCTGATCTGGTTGAAAACTTTTCTGGGTTTTAAGGAACATATAGATGGTTTATTCCACCTTAACTAACTTCCTTAAGTGACCCAGGAGATCCGGAGCTTCTTAGACGTTCTGCCCGCAGTCTCTTTGCTGAAATTCTTGACGGTGGTAGCGTTTCTGCTGTAGACAACTGGCCATTTGGGACCAGACTGAGATCACTAAACTTAAACAGCCTCCATAAAGGTAAAGCCAATCAGCTGTATTCTGCCTGAATGTGTTCACTGTTGCATTTCAGGCTATTTACGACATAATACCTTACTTTTTTATTACGTGTTGTGGGCTATTTTTTAAATAGAAATATTTTTTTAAATTAGAGCCAAAATTTGCAGCTGTTTTTCATTTTAAGTGTGAGTGTTTGGGGTTTTTTTCACAGAATAAAGGAGAATTTTAAAATTAAAAATGTCATAAAATGTGATAAGTTTGAGTGAATGACAGCAGCTAAAGGGGGCCTCGATCCCACAGCCCTCGCTGCCTTATCAGGGGTCAGGTTTTCTCCCTATATTTATACCAATTGTGAAAAAAGCTGGTTTTTTTCCTGAAAATATACTTTCAATTTCTGTAGTAAATTGCTGTTATGTGGGATAAATCATTAACATTGGTCTGGAGGCACCTTCTCTCTTCTACTTGGTGTTCTTGAGAATCAATTCATTTTCTCTACGTACCCACAACTAATTTTTGGTTCATTTGCTGAATTAATAGGTAAAAACAACCTCCCTCTTTGAGTCTATTACCTTAGCCAGATCACTCTGCTTGTAGGAAGGCAGACAAGAAGATTGACATGCCAATGGCAAAGACACTTGGGTGTGAGTTTCTACTGCAGTACAAAACAAAACAGTCACATTGAGGAGAAATCCACAGGGGAAATTTTCCCTTTATAGGGATTTCAGGACTGTACCATTAGTTGTGCCCTATTCTGATTTGGCATATGAGACACTGTGCCTCCTGACTTTTGAGAACATTCTGTATCAGCCCCAGGAAAGTTTGGAGCACAAAGAATCTATATGGGAAAACAATTATGTATTCTAGGAGGAGACAAACGTAAAATTATAGCACTGTGACTGTAATATTTTATATTCCAAACAGTTTTACAGTTTTCTATTAAATCTACTGAATGATCCAAGAAATATTTGTAAATGAACATCTTAAAGACTGTCGCATTCAGAGTTAAACCTTTCAGCTTTAAAGTTCTGATAAAACTGCTTATTAGAGAAAAAAGTTTGCATTTAAGACTCCAGAGAGTACTATTCATGAGCTTGTGGTACGTTGTTAATTTGTTCAGTGCTAGCATAGCAGGGCAGGCTCTTTTGAATTGCAAGACTGTTTTCATGTTAGCTCCAGAGGGAGAATGTATGTTTTCTCCTTGTGTGGTCATTAGCACAGTTCTACTAGAACGGAAGCGATAAGAGCCCAGCAAAGGATCATCCTTCAACAGATGAAAAAAAGGTGACTTAAAAGAAAGCCCTTTCAATTTTATTTCTTTAAAAAAAAAACCCTTCTTTTAGCATTACTGACCTCTTTAACCTGATTCTGCAGCTATTTCTCACATGTGAGTAAACATATGCTTGTCATAGCCCATTTAGTCTAATTTTCCTGAGTGTTGAACAACCACAGTTACAAGAGCTACATAATATGCTGTTTTCAGTAGCAGACCTTTTAGGTGCATTTAGAGTGTTTGGTTTAGAAAAGGCAGCAACTTCCTACAAAGTCATTGTGATTAAGCAAGATAAGGATACAGTGACAGGACCATCGTAATTTTAAAGCCACTTTTTTTTACACAAAGCCCATTATTTCTCTCTTACCTCTTTAAGAATATATTCATGCTGTCTGTAAAGTAACAATATGATTCCAAGGTCTGTGTGAGCCAAGTCTGTCTTTAGTTGACTTGGACACTCAAACTTTAGAATAAAATACATTTTATTGTATATTATTTTTTTGCTTACTATTTGTGGGAGAAAAGAAATAGGTTTCTATAACTATAGACTTAGCTTTAAAAGGCTAAATTGTGAAAACAGTTTTTAATAATGCATGCTGCTTTGTAGAAGCATGTAAAATGAAACTCATGAGAGTTAAATGTCATGGGTTTAGTGTGGCCATTGTAGCAAATTATTTGTAATACAGATGTGGTTCTGGAACCAATTGTGTCAGGAGATACGTGAAAACAGAACAAATAAGCAATCCATGCTAAACATTTAGTAACATGATTATACTAACTGCCCTGAGCTGCCCTTCCGAGTTGCTGGAAGATTTCATAGGAACAAATTTGAGAATATACCAGGAAACTGAGGGTTAAATGTAATAATTAAGTTATTGAATAGATATATAATTTCTACTTTGATATAGAGACTTATTTTCTAAACATCTGTACTAATATGAAACTGAACCATCATCTATTCATTTTTTGTCATATGATATAGCTGCTGTCATATGTTATTAATAACAGATTTTTTTAGCAATGTTATGCCTTTGAATTTTACTTGAAATTGGAACGTGATTTTGACATTTTTTGTCTTTTACACTGAATGGTTTATAAAAGTTAATCTTCCTGAGACATTCTAGTGCTGAAAGATGAATCCTCTATACACAGCCTCAATTATATATTTTGTGTATTTACATCAGGAAGCTGGATTTTTCAGATTTTCCAGAGCTGTAGTTTTCACATGCTGAGACTCATTTCAGAAAGGCCTTTCAGAAGGAATACCTGTATTGTACTAAACAATTACACGTTAGCTACAGCACATGCTGCACTGTGTTGTGATGAGGATATGTCAAAGGATTATTCACCTGGACTCCAGGACGTCACTGTCAGCAAGGAAATTAAGGACAAAAGATAATAACATTTGAATGCCTCAACTCTCTATTTTCTTTAACTTAGGGATGCAGACTTGTTCCTGTTAGACACAAGAAAGGCTCAAGCTTCTGATGTGGGCTGGTTTGTGTTTGACATTACTGTGACCAGCAATCACTGGGTGATTAATCCACAGAACAATCTGGGTTTGCAACTCTGCGCTGAAACCGGGGACGGTAAGACCATAACTGTAGATCATAACTGTACTGTAACTAACTGTAACATAACATAACTGTACCTTGTCATCTGTTGCTGGGAACCTTTTCTGGATGAATGTTTTTTAACTTGACTGGGCAACAATTCACTGAGAGTTTATAAGCAAAGAACACAAGTCTTATCCTGCCGCAGCCATAGTTTACAAGCTTTTCATTATTCTTAATTCTGTAGAATATGGCAATTATAAAGGTAACTGAATAATGTTTAAATAAATGAAGTCTGGGATAAAAGCTCCTACATACAAAATGAAGTTCCATTTTAATATTCTTCCACTGATTATTACATTTAGGAAACTCAAGCGGATTCGTGTAATTTTTGTTTTAGGAAGTTTCTAAAGATCTTTCTGGGCTGAAGCATGGAGAGAGGTATAAAAAAACTCAGGACAGTTCAGAAGACACCTCATAGCTGCTGGTACTGATGTTGGAGAAAGGTTAACAATAGGGTAATGTGGGAATTGGCTTTCTATATTTTGAAAAATAAATAGTTAAAATAATTTTTTATCTCGGGTTAAACATGTGAAATCTTGAAAGTTTTAATTAGCTGAAAATTAGTAAGAACAGTATTAAAACTGAAGTCAGATCTGTGGGTTTTTACTGCAAATTTACTAGGCTACTACATTATTCACAGTTATGTTCTTAATTAAAAAGTGAAAATGCATCTCTATATAAAATAGTATTTTTAGAAGAAATGTTCTTTACTTAGACTTCTTCAGAAACTAATAAAAAGAGACTTATATATTGTTTTTTCTGTGATGGTTCACTCAATCCATACTACTTTACAAGCAAACTTTCAGATTTAGCTCTTTCTTGTCAAAAAGATTTTTATGTCAGAGGTCAAGGGATCCATGATGCCAGTTAATCTAAACCTTAGCTGACATAATGTTAATGAGGAGCAGAAGAAACCCTGGTGTAAGGATTAATATTTTTTTCTTCTGTCTTTGTTCTGGCTACATTTTCTCATTGTTTTTGATCTGAATTCTCCCTCAGGCTCAGCTGGGCTGTGAACAAAGCATCTCGTACTTTTTCAGCAAGTGCTCTGGCTGCTGGAGAGTTATGCAAAAACTGCCCTCCTTTAGGCATGAAGCTTAAAAAGGGAGTTGGCAGGCTTGAGCCAGAGCATATGACCATTTCACCTAATATTGCCTATGTGGTCCTAGTACAGTCAGTGGAAAAGGAAGGCAGCAATTCAAACTAGACCATGTTGTTGCTGGGGTTAACCAGCCTTCAAAGGCACCACATCTGAGCCCAGGCTGTAAGGGAGCAGCTCTGCTAGGCAGACTGGTTTTGTGAGGCCATTTTTAAGCTCTTAAAATTCTGGAGAGGTGACACCTCCATCAGGCATCCAAATTAGGTGGACTGGCTTCTGGCCAGCTTTCCTGCTCCAGAATAAACTCCATCCTTGAACTTTTTTCCAGGAGATTCAAACACAGAAATTATTGAAAATGAAATATCCATGAAAGCATTCATTAAGAAACCCTAGAACCATCAATTTGTTGGTTCTAGCCTCAAAATTGTATCCATTCAGTAAACAACAGGAAAGTTTGTATGGGTAAAAGAAAACCTTTAGGTTAATACACTGAAGAAATTGTAAAAGAACAGTTTATGTAAATATTTCCCCTGTCCTACTCCCAAAATCAAAAAGGTGATAGATAATTTTCTATTTTAAATTCCAAAGCCACAGGCAGCTTTACCTTCTGCACCTCACTTATTCAAAATTCTCAGCACAGCTGCTTGAGTGAGAAGGGAATTCCCCTCTTCCCTCACTTTCTGTTCCCTTTTCAGTTTATTCATGCAAGAAGAGTGCCCTTCTGGGGACTAAAGTTTTCAAAACTATAAGGAAGACCTGGACTATACTACTTCAGCTTAGCATAAGTAAAATCATCCTTTCACGTTCTTACAATTTCCCTCTTAAGGCTTTGATTATTTTCATTGGGTTGTTGTTACTTCTGGAAGCTATTAGAAACACCAGCAGTTGAATGACATGTTTGTGTACAGATGGAACATGAATTTTTATACATGACTCAGTATGTAGTGGACTCTGTTTGTAACCCAGAGAACCCCACCCACCTTCCCTCCAACCCTTTCTCTACGAGAGCTCAGAGACTGGTTCAAATCAACCAAAAAACCCTGCCTTGGCTCAAGGGAACTTTAAGCCATGCAGGTCTGAAACATGGTTGTTGATGCCTTCAGCTGTCCAGTGAGTTTATGGGAGGTAGAGAGTTCTGCCCCCATAACCGGGGAGACATTTATGATAAGACCTAATCCATTAACCTTTCTATTGCAACAGACCATTAAACTGAATGGTATCCTGTTAAGTCAGAGGTTCCCTGTCTGAGGTATTCAGGTGCTGCACTGGGGCCCTGGATAATCAAGTCTGTAAATACATACCAATTTTTAGATTTATTCATACAGCACCTTTAAAACAGGGAGCCAATAATTACCGAGACTCCAGGGTGCTACTATATCGTTATCATTACCATTAACAGTAATCTTTCTTACGGTTATCTTTCAGTGACTTTTTTAGGCAATTACTTGTGTAGATATATTTCTTTGGTGATCCCTGAAGATGGTGCGTAAATAATAATAATGTCTACATGAGGAATGAAAAAATTTGTAGCTATTTAATGTAACAGTGTGATAAAAACAACTCTGGAAGAATGTCTGGTTGCTGTAATTCATATTTTTCCCCCTTTGAAAATGCTGAAAAAGTACAAAAAGCCACATGACATTGGAATGTGTTTTCTTCTTTCTTTAAGACAGTATTTGGTATCATACGCCTCATTTTAGCATGAAATGTAGACTTTTTCTCTTAATGGGACGTTTTATTTTGAACAGTAAGAATAAAGGTTTGCACGACACATATGGAAGCTGTCAACATATAATGCACTGTTTCCCTGGGGCTGTGGTAAATGAAGGATCAGGTTTTTTTGATTCTCTTTTTTAATGTCTCCTCAACATTCTGCAGCATCCCTTTTTGGCCGATTCCCTCCTTTTGGCACCAAAACTCTCCACGGTGTTTAAAATGAGGTGATCATTTTCACACTGATGGAAGTGCGGGTGTTAGATTAATTGCAGCATAAAATCAATGTATATGCAGAAAAAATTTGAAAAGCTTCATGTGACGCTTTTCCTATACATATACCATGTGTCTCCTAAGACTTAAAACATGTTCCAGTGAATCAGCACCTTTGTATTAAAACTTAACTTTTTTATAATTGGAAGCGAGCAACAGTTTGAACGTCACTTTTACCGGAGGAGTATAAATAGCTGCAAGAGTATTCCTTTTGCTGTTCATATCATTGCTGAAGAGAACCTGGGGTTGCCTACAGAAAATGGGAGAAGGAGATAACATGTAACAATGGCTATTGAGGATCCACAGAATAAAACAGGCTCCAAATACACAGCTCTCAATACAGCATCTTGGTAGCCCCCACAGCCATGCAGTTCTGTGACTTTTCTTAGATTACTGCAGCTTTCAGTTATTTTCCAGCTGCCCGCACATCAGAGGGGAAGAGACTGGTGGTACCTTTGAAAAGCCCAAGCTGATTAAGGTGATTTCTCTTTCCACAGAGTCCTGTGGAAGGTTTATTCAGGCTTTCTTGCTGTTTGAAGTGGGCAGGCAGCAGGATTCCTCAGCCCCCCAACTCTGACTCTTACTTCAGGTATCTTTTGTGTCCCCTGGAAGGGGGTTTGACTCCTAATCCTACAGGCTGCAGGGAGGATTGGTGAGGTCCTTCTCCAGCGTTGATGGGGCAGACATTAAAAGACTCGCTCTCTGTTTTTTAGCCTCTCCTCATTTCACCCTGGGCCTTCCAAGTTCCCTTTCTCCTATGAAGCCTTCAGAGAGGCAGCATGGCCACATTCTCTATGCCACAGAGGGTGGCTGGTTTGCTTTCAACCCATAGCAACCTTTGGCAGCACCCTGGCTTCTTCAGATCCTTGGCTGCATACTTTACATTGGCCTTGGCCTCAGCCTCACCTTCACAATGCTAAATGTTATCAATCTCATCCCAAGGTTGCCCACAGTCAACCTTGACACCTGACTTACTTGACCACAGTAGACATCAAAGACCCTGGAGGATGCTGCTGGGTTGTTACATTTGAGTTTCTTGGTGGATCTGGTATTTACAAGGCAAAGTATCAGGAGTGAGTTCACCTTCATTAGTGTCCTTACAGTGGGGGAATTTAGGATATATATATTTATATTGATATATATATGGACTTTGGCAGGCAATAGCTCTGCCTAAATTCTGAGCCATCTGGAAGCCATATAGCCATGTTAGCACAGCACTGAACCCGAGCTAATATATCCTGCCCCTCAGCAGGTTTTATTAGCTTGGGCTCAAGCACTGCCTAAGTACAGCTACATGAGCTCTGGTTGAGAGCTGACTTTGGCCAAAGTTACACTAGTAAATTAAACATGCTCAGGAATACTGTGGCATGAAACAAGCCGGAGGGATGACTCTCTCAGTCTCCAAAACAGGGTGACACCCTGGCAGCTGCCACCCAACAGCCTTGGGGTGCTGGGGACTGTGCAGTGGAGCTGGCATAGGATGTAAGCGCACTAGGAGCATCTTTCTACCCTGAGCAGGGCAGATGATCCAGCTCCAGCACCTGGGAGCGCTCCAGGGCACTCTTTAACTTACTCAGATAGGTGTAACCCCTGTTTGCCGCTGGGTCAGAAATACAGTCAGCATGTTCTTGTGTCTGCTTGTAGCAAGTGATGTGAACACACCCTTTGTTAGTAAGGGCACACTTACTTTAAGCAGGAGGGCTGGGGAGGTGAGGTGGGCTCCCGCCCTTTCTCTGGTCACCACTGCATACTGGTGCCTACTGGTCCTGGCTGTACATCTGTGCAACTCCCCCTCCCCCCTGCCCCCCAGACAGATGAAGAATACATCTGCTTCTCAGAGCCAGTATTTTAGAGATAATGGCATTTGTGTTTCATTTCATTCAGAAGA